GGCTGGAGAGTCGAGGCAACACAACCCTTTCTTCCCCGTCCACCCTGACCCTTGGACCCCATAGGATGGCAAATGCCGTCAGCTTGAACCCCTGTGGGGAAAAGATGGAAAAGTTTTCAGCCAAGAGGCATTTACTAAATAGCCAATAAAGCGCTGGCGGTCGTGAATGCATCTTGGTGGTGACCTTGTTTGGGGAGGGGGTCCTATGGCCATGCTGGCCCGCTTGTGAGGAGCGGAGACGTGGCTACATAATGAGCTTCCCCTCATCTCTGAATCATGTCTATGGTGGGAAGTGGTTGGACTTGCATTATTCAAATGGACTTAGATTATTCAAATGCTGCTCTGGTTTAAGCAACTGTGACAAGCGGAGCCTAGAGTTCAGGCCCAAGCTGGAGGAAGGTTGAGGGCCTCCCCTTGGGCCAGGTAGGAGCTGGAGGGCGCAGGCCCAGGGTGACGGTGGTGTCATGCCCAGTGGGCAGCTGGCCTCAGTAGGTGGAGGGGCTGGTCGTCTTGCGTCTACGGGTGTGGCCTCTGAGAAGGCACAGCAGGGGTGGACCTGGACTGACAGCCTGAAGTGCCTCCTCCAGGGCCCAGAGTTGAATATGCCCATCTGACTAGCCCTGTGTTAATGGTACAGGGATGCTGTTAAGCTTTAACAAGCGCTGTGGCTCCTGCCCTGCTGCTCCTGGGCGATGACTTCTCTAGGATACTCGAATTTTCAGGGTAGACCTGAGAAGGGAGCCCTGTGTCCCTGTCCCACAGGGAGCTGAAGGCAGAGCTGGGCCTTGAACTAGCCTCGGTCCCAGCGCCCGGGGCTGTGGGCAGCAGGCAGGACCTGGTCAGCCTCTGCCAGCTGCTGGGGCGGTAGAGGAGGGTTACCCCAGGGAAGCAAGGCAGCTGAGAGGCAGACGCCAGGGTTGAGGCAGTGGGGCCAGTCTCTGGATCAGATGTAGGTCTTCAGGAGCTGCGTCCTGGTGTGCCAGCTACCTCAGAACAGCTGACGCACCACCTGTCGCTAACCTGCCTGTGGTGGTGCAGGGTTTGTGGACTAGAGCCCTCTTGTATTCACGGCTCTGTTCCCTATACCAGCCTGGGACTCTGACACAGACCAGGCTTTCAAATAAATCTTAAATATGGGGAGGGATGATGAGCTCATCAGATAATGATGAGCTCATCATCCCTCCCCATATTTTCAGATAGTCTGGAAAAACCAAAGAGTAGGGGACTCTGGATCCCAAGGGCTGGGGCTCCATCTCTAGGGAAAAAGGGAAGAGGGCAGCCCTGGGGCCAGAAGAGGGACAGAGGGGGACAAAATATCCACTCTCCCACCCACACAGGCTTTTCCCAGGGAACTCGCCCACCTCTGCCAAGGGCTGCCTTAGGGTGGATGAATTCGTCCCTCCTCTGACCCTAACTAGACCCTTACCCAGGGCTTTTCAGGTCAGCCCTGGGCCTTCCCGCCCCACCTGCCTAAGGGCCCCACAGGAGACCTTGGCAGCTTGACACCTTTTCCTTCTGTTACCTCCCAGGCACCCAGCAGCACTGCCCTGATGGCACCTGCAGAGTGTCCTTCCAGCCCTGGCAGAGCTGGGTTTGCTGGGCTTGTACAATGCTGCAAACTTCTCTTGAGTTAGGCACCGAAGGCTTACTCAGTCTGGATTTCCAGCTCCTGCTGCCAAGTCTTGCCACCCTGGGCCTGAGGCTGAAGACTCACTGGCCACACCCTAGACACAGATGTGCTCCAGAAGGCCCCAGTCCCTGTCGTTCTCCACTGTGTCCCCTGCAAAGGTCACCTGGCACTGTGCTTCACTACTGCTGTAGGGAAGGAGAGGAAATGCTCCCCTGTACCTGTCAAAGGTGAGAAAACAAGCTAAGTGGGCCCTGTGCCTCAGTTTCCTCACCAACTGGGCAAGACTTGTGCCTGTCTCAAGGTGGTTCTGAGGACTGGAGTAATTTACATAAAGCCCTAGAAAGATGTGGCACCTTATTCCTTAGCTACTCTTTCTTGAAGGCTGGGAGACCATTATCTCTGTTGCAGTGAACAAAACCCTCCACTGCCTGCATAGCAGACACAGGGCCAGGTGCAGTGGCTCATGCCTGTAATCCCAGCACTTTGGAAGCTGAGGTAGGTGAATCACTTGAGGCCAGGAATTCAAGGTCAGCCTGGCCAACATGGGGAAACCCCATCTCTAATAAAAATACAAAAATTAGTCAGGTGTTGTGTGTACCTGTAATCCCAGCTACTTGGGAGGCTGAGTTGGGAGAATCGCTTGAACCCAGGAGGCAGAGGCTCCAAAACGTGCCACTGCACTCCAGCCTGGGCAACAGAGCGAGACCTCGTCTCAAAAATTAAACCCCAGGAAATACTGGGGGTGGGGGGGTAGGGGGTGGGTGTTGGAGAGTGCTGGGGACCCAGTGTGAAGGCAGTTGAGGGTTTTGGAGATTCCAACCCTCCCCTATGCCTCCCAACCTGCAACAGGCCATCTTTTAGCTTTCTTTTTTCTAAGACTGAGTTTTGCTCTTGTTGACCAGGCTGTAGTGCAATGGCTCCCTCCATCTCAGCTCAATGCAACCTCCACCACCTGAGTTCAAGAGATTCTCCTGCCTCAGCCCCCTGAGTAGCTAGGATTACAAGCATGTCACCATGCCCGGCTAATTTTGTATTTTTAGTAGAGACCACGTTGATCAGGCTGGTCTCGAACTTCCAACCTCAGGTGATCCACCTGCCTCAGCCTCCCAAAGTGCTGGGGTTATAGGCGTGAACCACCACACCCAACTTAAAGAAACTTTTAGTTCTTTAAAGGCACCAAGTCCTCTCCCCTCCTGGATGCTTCAGTGCCCAGAATGCCCTCAGCAGGGGGTAACCCCCATTTCCCTTCCAAAGCGCTTAAGGGGCTGTTCCTGTCTCCCCTTCTCCCCTCCCTGCATCCCTGCTTGCTGAGTCCTCCTAGTCTGGAGAGAGGACTCCACTGCTACTGGCTGGTGGTGACCCCAGCTAAGCCAGATCCTGAGACCCTCCAGTGTGGCCATCTCACAGGTGACCCTCCCTCAGGTCCCTGCCCTTCCAATGTAGGGCTGGGGCAGGTGTTGAGGGTGGAGCAGGACTAGGCAGGACCAGGCAAGTCCCCTTCCCCATCCGCCATCCTTCCAGTCCTTTCCACTCTTCCGTTGGAGCCCAAGGAGCCGCTGAGTGGAGAGCACTGGCCAGCAAGACTACTGGCTTGACAGGGTAGGACAGCAGGAGGAAGCAACTTTGCAGGTGAGAAAACCCCAGAGCCAAAGGCCAGATGTGGTGGCTCACGCCTGTAATCCAAGCACTTCAGGAGGCAGAGGCAGGTGGATCACCTGAGGTCAGGAGTTCAAGACCAGCCTGGCCAACATGGCAAAACCCCATCTCTACTATAAATACCAAAAAAAAAAAAAAAAAAAAGCTGGGAGTGGCGGCATGCACCTGTAATCCCAGCTACTGGGGAGGGTGAGGCAGGAGAATTGCTTGAACCCAGGAATGTGAGGTTGCAGTGAGCCAAGATTGTGACACTATACTCCAGCCTGGGGGACAAGGGCGAGACTCCATCTCAAAAAAAAAAAAAAAAGCCACCTGTAGGAAGCTGCCTTCTCTGCCTTTTGACTGCAGGAAGCTTCTCCCATCCACTAGCAATCTGCAGTGCCCGCCCATGCTGCCCCTGGAAGGGCAGGTGAGGGTCTTCTGGATGTTCAGGAAGCTCTCAAGGAAGCCCCTCCAGGGTGGCCACAGGTCACATGGGCTCACTTTCCTCAGCTAGGGGCAGGCTGGGGGAGCAGGGGAGGCCATCTTTGTTACTGGGACCTTCGTGGTTCCAGGTACGGGTCTTCCCACCCCACTGTGTCCTCAGTGCCATTTTCTCTGTACCCCACTTCCCTCTATAGAACAGGGATAAATAGCCTACCCTTCAAGACTGTCCATGTGGCCGGGTGTGGTGGTTCATGCCTGTAATCCCAGCACTGTGGGAGCCTGAGGTGGGTGGCTCAATACCAGCCTGGCCAACATGGTGAAACCCTGTCTCTACTAAAATACAAAACTTAGCCGGGCATGATAGTGGTTGCTTATAATCCCAGCTACTCAGGAGGCTGAGATGGGAGAATTGCTTGAACCCGGGAGATAGTGGTTGCAGTGAGCCGAGATCGCACCACTGCACTTCAGCCTGGGCAGCTGAGCAGCAAGACTCCCATCTTAAAAAAAAAAAAAAAAAAAAAAAAAAAGCCAGCTGTGGTAGTGGGTACCTATGATCCCAGCTACTCAGGAGACTGAGGCAGGAGAATCCCTTGAAACCCGAAGGTGGAGGCTGCAGCCATCCGACATCATACCACTGCACTCTGGCCTTGCAAAAGCGAAAACTCTGTCTCAAAAACAAAACCAGACTGTCGGAGTGGACTGCAGGAGGCAGGGCAAGACATACAGCACCTAATTTGCAGCATGCTCAAGCCATGACAGCCAGTGTGTGTCAGCCGGGACGCTGCCCGCAGCAGTGGCTGAAGGAGCTGACGTCCTGTGTGAGGGTCCTGTCTAGGACTCTGCCTGGTGTAGACTCAGCAGCAGCCTAGAAGCGAATGCCTGCCAGTCCTGCCTGGAGAAGGGAGGGCGTCCGTGGCCTCTGAACATCGGTCCAGCCTCCTGGTGCCCTCTACTGGGCAGTTGACCACACTGCCTGCAAGGAGCAGCCCTGGCCTGAATCCCTGGCCGGGGGACTGAGCACAGGGCCTGCTGCTGGTCTGGGGAGCCGCTGCATGTATATCAATGTGTGCACAGTACATGCAGTCAGTTCCGAATGCCTTCCGTGACTGACTTCCTCTCAGTTCCAGTGCGAATATGAAAAATTCCGCTTCTGAACTGGACAACTGACCGCCTCCCCCAGCATTTCACAGGGTGGATTTGAGCCACCCGTCTCCTGACACCACCTCCTGTGGGTGCCACGGCTCAGGAGGTACATGTGTAAGGAGTTCAGAAAAAACGCAGAAGCCAAGACAATAGACAATGATGTCGTTTATTTAAAATGTTTACTCCAAGAAATATATATATAAAAAAAAATAAGACAATTACAGCACTAAACCAGGCACCTTCGACCGAATCACAACCTCCTCTTGGTTCCCCTTCACACTAAGCCTCTTTCAAATTCTTGTTCCTGAGATGGAAGACCAGTCAGATGCCCTTGGGGTCAGTGCCAAGTCCGATCCCAGCTGGGCAACTGTGTACCTTTCTCTAGGAGTGCACGATGCCCTTCCCCTCAACTCCTTGTTTTAAAGGATTTAATCCATGAGGAAGTTCATGTTTCAATCTAGGCCGAAAGGAGGTGCGGACAAGGCAGTCTTCACTTCGAAGGTCCCTTTCCTGCTCCAGGCCCCAGCTAGGGCTCTAGAAGAGGCTGGCTGCTGGACTGACATGAGGCCACCGGGAAAGCTAAGCCCCGCTCTGCCCAGGGCAGCTCCTGCCAAGGCTGGGACCTCAGGTGCTGCTTCCTTAACCCTCTCCGTGCCCACGACTCAAAGGAGAGACCTCAAAGGAGCCAGGAGCACAGGTGCCTGGGCTGCGTTCCAGGAAAGAGACCTATCCAGGGAAACGGATCAGGCTGTCGCGTGGAAGCTGGAGTCAGAGATGGTGGTTTTGGGGTGATTTGGACAAACTGGGTTACTTTAGCAAAGCTCTGAAGTGGCAGAAGCTTCTCCCCTGGACTACTATTGAACACAGAACAAGAGATACGTGCGGCGTCAGGCTAAGTCTTAGATGCGGGCCAGCCTCCTCCCACAGGGCCTTGGGGGCTGGCGGGACAGACACTGCTACGTGCCCTCCGAGGGCAGGAGTCACGGTAAGAAGCGACTGGGGTAGAAAATAGGAAAAAAGCAACTAGATCATTTTTGGCATTTTAACATGGAGACAGTGACAAGTGGTAACAATAGCAAAAGCAAAAAAACTTGAGACCAATCTTTAACTTTCCCATCCACCCAAGTCTCACACTGAAGTTCTACTCCCATCTCCCCGACAAGCACCACTGAACTAACATCTATTTTAAAGCACCCAAACCAGTCCAGACCCTCCGGAAACCAAGAGCCCCAGCCAGAGCTGTCGCCTCTCTTGGGTCCAGGCGAGAGGAGGGTTCCGGGAAAGGCACCTCGTAACTCACTCAGCGCAGCGTACATGGTGGCGAGCTCGGGCACGGGCACTTGATGGGGATGAGGGTGGCAGTCACAGCATCTGTGCTGACACGCAAGGAAGGGGACTCTTCGGTAATCCCAACTATTTGGTACCAGAGCCAAGAGAACGTGACTAAAGGGCGCTGGGTCGGCAGCACGGTACCCGAGTCTCAGCAACAGGGCGGCCGTGCGAGGCAGGATCCAGGCGGGGAGACAAGGACACCGAAGCACAGGGGTGATCCAGGCTGGTACGGAAAGGGCTGATCCTTCTTGCAAGGAAGGGAGAATGCACTTGACTGCTGGCTGATCAATCTCTAATTGGCAAGTGCGCATGACAAGGCTCAGTCCTGACTCCATTGGGAGCCACGGAGCCAACTCAGCTGATACAAATGTTCCCACCTCTGCCCACCCCAAGTCCCCATGGTTCTACCATCACCTGATTTTCATATGGATGTCTTTAACAGCTAATGTAGATATAAATGGCTAAACACAGACCTCCAATCCCCCACCGGGGGGGACATGGCAGATTCTATAATGTCGCAGCCAGAAGGCTGTGGGCATACAGGCAGCCAAGGGGAGAAACTGAACCCACACCGGCCTAGGCCAATTTGCAAGGAAAAGCAGGCAAGGAGTGGCCTGGACGCTCCCGAAGCACACAAGCACGATTTTGATGGAGGCGGCCGGCAGGGACTGACTTTGCCCAGCTGCTGCCGGTTCCTGAAAGGGACATTTTTTCTAGTAAATGACGATTCATCTTCCATGTAGCAACCGCTTGAATCACGATGCTAATTGTAACTGGAAAGGGGTGTTTTGGGGAGTGTATTCAGGAGAGGAACAAAGAAAAAACTTGAAAAAACCTAGATTGCTCAAAGTTTCTGCCTCTTTTGTAGGAATGGTAAGTCAACTATGAGCAAGTACTTTAATGCGACATTAAGGGGAAAAAACGTACTTTGGAAAGCATACAGAAAAAAAGGTCGTTAACGTTGGATCACTTGGGAAACGGAACCTCAGGGAGTCTGAACAAAAACGCACCTTCGGTCAACTTTTGCTTTTTTAAATTCCTCGTCTGACTTCACGTCCCAGTGCACATGGAAATGACAGCTGCCGCGAGAGGTGTGGAGTTGGAGGAGGCTCCGGGAGCATCAGAGGGTTCGGGGATTGTATTCTGGCAGTTTCTTGATCTTCTCTTTCTCGGCCTCACTTTCATCTCTTGCTATCACCAGGGAGTGTGAGTAGCCCATGGCGACCTGGGGGGACAAATCCATGTTGGGTGTGCATGCGACCCCTGGGCTAATTGGTGTGTTGAGGAGATCCTGGAAATTGGGCTGCCACAGCGGGTCAGCATGGGGGAAACGGACCCTTCAAAACTGCAAAAACCCCTCTGCTTCAGAGAGCTAGTTCCCAGGGGATCATCACCAATGCTCCACCGATCAGAGCCTTGCAGGCTGCCCTGGGAGACCCAGCTGGAAGGAAGCCCACCGGGCCACCTCTCGTCAGCAGGGACAGGTGGCTTCAGGTCTATTTCCATCCTCCTCTCTGGCTCACAGTCCCGCCTGGGTGAGGGACACGACACCTCTCTGTGTCTTGGCAGACAGGCTGAGTCACAGGGGCCTTGCCCCGCATCTGTCTCCTGCAGGCATGCAGCCTCCACTCAGAGGACTTGTGGACCTGCTTCCAACCCAGCAGATCCAAGTCTCGAGCAGGATGGAGACGCAAGTCACATACTCGCCCAAGAGTGGAGCTGCTGTGGCCAGTGGGTGGCACCTGTCATCAAGGGTGAGGACAGCCACCCAGACTGGCCAGTGACCCTCTGCACTCACTCCTGCTGATGACTGTTACCCTCAGCAAATCCTAGCCTAAGGCGCCAGCAAAGTCAGCTAAGGAGATGTGAAACAAGACAACAAACAGACTGCGCTGGCCAGAAGCGGGGAGTGAGGCACCGCTGTGTGCGGACACGTCCCCTTGCGGACACGGCCGCCCCCGCTCACCTGCTCTGAGAAAATGCCGTCCAGAGTCTTCACCTCCTGGGCTGCAGTGGAAGACTTGGGTTTGTGGTCCCCATAGCCCTGGCGAAGCAAACAAGACATTGGCAATCGGGGACCAACATGGCTCACGCCACGGTGGGGATCACGGCAACGTTTCCCGGCCCCCACTAACCAGGAGCCAGTGGTGATGCCCGTGGCTAAGCCCGGCCACCCTTGGACACAAGGGCCAAGTGGAGTCATCCAAGTTTATCCATGAAAGCTGCCCCAGCAGGTGACTAGTGCTTAACCTGAGGAAGACAAAGGTGCTCAGCTCTAGCCTGTGGGACTTCTGTTCACACAGGTCCCTTCTGAGTATAGCATTGGTGACAGGAAGAACGGTAACTGCGGCCCTTCGGGACCAAAGTCACCAAGAACACGGGCTGACCACGGGCCCCTGATGCCTCCACTGCCCAAAGGGCAGAATAATCACCATCCAAAATAACAGGAAAGGGCTTTAAGCATGAAAGGGAGATGATTTGTTAGCAATGGCACCAAGGAACCAGTTTCACTCCCAGAGACAGAAGGAAACTGGACGAACTGGTGCAGCTAAGGGGGAGTCGTGTGCAAAGGTGTGGAGCTGGGTGATTGAAAGGCTGAGGGCCCTGGCTCAGCTGAAACAGAGGGTCCCTCAGGGCGGGAGAGGCAGACCCTCCCTCCCCCGCCCAGGCCTGCCCATGTGTCCCTGGCTTGTCTCCCGCCAGTCCCCACCTCGTGCCTTCCCTCCCAGGTGCCAGGCCATGTTCTCACCCTTGAGAAGCTCCCCAAAAAGTCAACCTTGCTCCCCTCTTAGTTTCAAAACTTCTGTTTAGAAGGTCAAAGTCTATTTCTGATAGGCCCCAGAAAATATCTGTCCTTCACTAAGAACAATCTGTAGAAACTGGGCCAGGTCCTCTCTCTTTCTGTCAATGTTTTAAATCGGGCCACCAGCGCATCTGAGCCAGACTGCAAGGGTGTGCAGAGCTCTGAGAAAAAGGTGCGTTCACCATCCATCCCAGCCACAGCTCCAGGAACGCCCTTCCTTCCCCCTCCTCTCCATCAACCAGGTCAGCTTGCAACCACAGGAGGACAGGAGAGGGAGAGAGACTGCGTTTCTAACAAGAAATAAGGGACTAAAACTACGACCCCCAAGAATTAAGCAGAGACTCAAACAGTGACTAGTGCAGGCAGACTAGCCAAGCTAGTCCTCCTAACAAAAACTCAAAGACTCACCTTAGCCAGGTGTGGTGGCTACACCTGTCATCCCAGCACTTTGGGAGGTGGAGGCAGGTTGATCACCTGAGGTCAGGAGTTTGAGACCAGCCTGACCAACATGACAAAACTCCGTCTCTACGGAAAATACAAAACTTAGCTGGGCGTGGTGGTGGGTGCCAGTAATCCCAGCTACTCAGGAGGCTGAGGCAGGAGAACTGAGCATTGTTTGAACCCGGGAGGCGGAGGATGCAGTAAGCCAAAATCATGCCACTGTACTCCAGCCTGGGTAACAGAGCAAAATCCATCTCCCCCCGAGAAAAAACCCCACCTAGTAGCAGGACCTAAGAATGAAAGCTGTTTGTTTGGGGAAGACCATGGGTTCTAATCTCATCACTCAAGTAACTGATATTAACAACAGAGACACAAAATCACCCACAACTGGAAGCTTCCCACTGACTTAAGCCCCCCTGGGGAAAGGGAACAAACAGGCCCCTTTCGTACCGTATCTCAACGGTTGTTTACAAAATGCAAGAGGAAACTAGATCTGAAAAGTCCCAATTTTCAGAGTTTACAAACGTGCAGCGATGACTCATCATGATCTGACTGGCACAGCACTGTCCCTGAAAACTCTGGGACTCAATCATGTTGCAGACTTTAATACAATAAGGGAGAATCCCATACGTTTTTCTCCCAAGTGTTTTAGGAGACAGGTGGAGAGAACCTGGAAGGCCAAGAGCCACCCTGACTGGCTCCAGTTCCCTCGACCCTGGAAGGTGACGGCTTACCAGTTCCCCGAATGTTGGCGAAGGGCCCCAGCTGATGGTGCTCTCGTCGGCAGCCACAATGATGCTGCTCTTCCTGCAAAGAGGTGGGCTGTCACCCTGGGGCCAGCAGCCCCAGCCCTGGACCCACCCAGCTACAGCTCAAGGGCATGGGTGTGAGCTGCCACTTGTCCCGTGGAGTACTCATGCCAAGCAGCAAACACAACAACAGGGGCAACAGGCTCCTCCTGAACCCTAAGATTGTCCCACGCAGGCCACAACGCTTCATTGAAACAAGGCCTTTTAGGGCCAGGGGCCAAAGGCAGGGGACCTTGCTGTGCACCCCGCCCCAGGTCCTAGGGCTCTTTCAGTGGGAGGTGGCTTTGGGAAGAGGAGAGCAAATCAGGATGGAGTGAAAGCCCATTCCGGAGGGAGCAGCCTTCATGCATAGTAAATTTAGGCAGGGCTAGAGGATTCAACAGATTAAAGCCAAGGGACCCAGCCCCCTCTTACTGTTCCACCCACACCTGCCAGCTGATGAATCACCAAGAATTGCTAGATAACTCAACAGGTGTCCTTAAATGCACTAAGAACCACTGCTGTCAGGACAATGTCTTCTTCCCAATGTCAGAGCAACTCAAGTCCTACTACCTTTCCAGCTACGTGCCATTGTCAACCTGCAACGTAGGCTTACACCAAGCTCTGCTCTGTGTATTTCTTTGCACAGAGACCGTCAAATGACTTTCTTCCCACGAAGACAGGGAACAGCCATCTGTTCTAGCTGCAAACAGGCCCTCTCCCGACCTGTGCCCCGGACTCTGGGATTCAGCGTGTGAGGTGGCCTCCTGAGGACACCCCAAAAGGCAGCAGAAACAGAGCCCCATCAGGGAGGGACAACCTGTGGGTGTGTCCAACACCCCCAAGAAAGGAAGAGACCCCATACACCCAAAGGAGATGCTGCCACCTACCCACAAGCCAGGCTCCGGATTCTCCAGCCGCAGAGGTCCTGCACTGCTTTCGGGTACATGGTAGATTCACGGGAGGTGTTGGTGGCCCCCCAGAAAAACAGACCACCTGAGGGAAGACAAGACATGTTCCCACCGTGACCAGATATCAAGAGCCGAGTCTCATCTTCAACATTATCAGGGTGAAAAGAGGACAGGCAAACAAGTGTTCTGTCTAAAAGATAACTGGGCTGGGCGCGGTGGCTCACGCCTATAATCCCAGCACTTTGGGAGGCCAAGGTGGGTGGATCACCTGAGGTCAGGAGTTCAAGACCAGCCTGGCCAATATGGTGAAACCCTGTCTCTACTAAAAATATAAAAATTAGCTGGGCGTGGTGGCGTATGCCTGTAATCCCAGCTACTCAGGAGTCTGAGACAGGAGAATCGCTTGAACCCAGGAGGCGGAGGTTGTGATGAGCCAAGATCACGCCATTGCATTCCAGCCTGGGCAACAGAGTGGAAACTATCTCCAAGAAAAACAAAAAAGAAACAAAACAAAACTGGAGTCAGGCATGGTGGTGTGCCCGTGCAGCCCTAGCTACTCAGGACGCTAAAGTGGTGGGATTGCTTGAGCGCAGGAGTTCAAGACCAGCCTGGATAACACAGCGAGCTCCTGTCTCAAAAAAATAAACAACACTGAAAGGTAAGTAAAGGGAATTGGAGTTCGTGGCCTTGGAACAGGACAATGGCTACACAGTTCCCCACTAGAGCACCGATAAGCCAGGGGGAAGAAATCACTAACCCACTTCACTGACGGCAAAGGAGCAGGTGTAACCAGCGTAGATCTGGGATGCCCCGCGCCCAGGGAAGTCAAACAGCTTCACCAGGCGGGGAACCATCTCATCCTTCTGTTCTGCGTGGCCCAGCCGGCCATAGCCACCGAAGCCCCAGGAGAAGACTCGCTTCTGGGAGTCCAAGACCAGCTGCCAGGAAAGAAAACACAGGGTTGGAACAAACAGGCTTCCAACAGGCAACAAGAGGGGTCATCATTTCTGCCCAGACAACCTGGTGCAAATGCTAAGGGCAAAGGGGCAGCTACATTCAAGATCCTCTACCAGCAGGGTGCGGTAGCTCACATCTGTAATCCCAACACTTTGGGAGGCCAAGGCTGGTAGATCACTTGAGGTCAGGAGTTGAGACCAGCTTGACCAACATGGTGAAACCCTGTCTCTAAAAACCAAAGAAATATCCTCTGCCTGCCTCCAGCAGAAAGATCCTCTACCTCCCACCTCCAGCAGTGGGAAGGAGGCAACAGGAGCAGGCATAGCAAAATGGCGTGCATTCAATGAGCCCCGTTTGCTATTTTCTCTGCCAGGAACTCCATTTTCCAATTCTTTTTTGTTCTGTTTTTTTAGGTTACAAGTCTTAACCCTTTCCTTAATCACAAGCTATGACTACAGATGGTAGGGCAAGGCACTTGATTCCTATGAAAACAGAGATTCAACTGCAGAAAGAACAGAGGAGAAAAGGCCTATGCCTACCTGTCCTGGATTTTTCTTTTTATTTTTTTCCCTTGAGACAGGTCTTGTGCTGTCTCCCAGGCTGAAATGCAACGGCATGATCTCAACTCACCACAACCTCCACCTCCTGGGCTCAAGTGATTCTCCCACCTCAGCCTCCCAAGTAGCTGGGACTACAGGTGTACACCACCATGCCCCGCTAGTTTTTGGGTTTTTGTAGAGATGGGGCTCTCACCATGTTGCCCAGGCTGGTCTCAAGTGATGCGCCCACCTTGGCCTCCCAAAGTGCTGAGATTACAAATATGAACCACTGCACCCAGCCTGGACTTTTCTTTAGACTTCCCTTGCCCACAGGTACATAGAGGTAACCTGTACCTGGTCACTGATAAAATGAACTCAAAGACACTTCAAGTGTTAAGATACATCTTCAGCTGGGCATGGTGGCTCACGCCTGTAATCCCAGTACTTTGGGAGGCAAAGGCAGGAGAATCACGAGGTCAGGAATTTGAGACCAGCCTGGCCAATACGGCGAAACCCTGTCTCTACTAAAAATACAAAAATTAGCAGGGCATGGTGGTGCACCACCTGTAATCCAAGCTACTCAGGAGGCTGAGGCAGGAGAATCACTTCAATCCAGGAAACGCAGGTTGCAGTGATTTGAGACAAAGCCACTGCACTCCAGCCTGGGCAACAGAGCAAGACTCTGTCTCAAAAAGAGGATACATCTTTAGTCTTGTTTTCCCACCTTCTGACAAGCCAATTAAGTTCTTTGATGTTCTGTGTCTAAATCATGTGAATCTACAACTTACTAAAAAGCTTCACAAATGAAGCCCTAAACAAGAGCCAACTTGATTTCCCCGACTCCATTCGACAAAACAAATCACGGTTTTCAGACTTGCAGAAACTGAAATCTACTCCAATCCTAGCTAGCCCAATTCACTGTGTATTCTTCATAGAGAAGATTCCAAGGGAAGGATGTGGTAGGCTGAGACCACTCAGTGGGGAGGACCCAGGCTCTTTCAACAAAGAATAGAACCAAGAGATTTCCAGGCATTCTCAGACAGAAGAACCACAGGAAGGCCATTAAGATTAAAAGATTGCACTGCAGTTTATCTAAAGCGACCTTTAAAGAAACAACCTAATGATTTAAAACGACTCCAATCCCCAGTATGGGGGGGTGCCATCTATTGGCCTGAGAAGATGTCTGTGATTATGTAAGACAAAAGCCAAAAGCAGAAATTGCTTACCTTAAGATGGGGGTGAGGGAAGCAAAACATCTATGTGCTTAAGATGTGTCTACTTATTTATTTATTTTTTTTTTGAGATGGAGTTTCGCTCTTGTTACCCAGGCTGGAGTGCAATGGCGAGATCTCGGCTCACTGCAACCTCCACCTCCTGGGTTCAGGCAATTCTCCTGCCTCAGCCTCCTGAGTAGCTGGAATTACAGGCACGCGCCACCATGCCCAGCTAATTTTTTGCATTTTTAGTAGAGACGGGGTTTCACCATGTTGACCAGGATGGTCTCAATCTCTTGAACTCGTGATCCACCCGCCTCGGCCTCCCAAAGTGCTGGGATTACAGGTGTGAGCCACTGTGTCCGGCCAAGATGTGTCTATTTAAATCACAGAAAAGTTAACCTAGGAGGCAGTGAAAAGGAACCCTGCACTGGGTCCAAGGACCCTTTGGCCAGGATGCAAAGCCCTTTTGAAGAAGCAAACAGATGTCTACCTGGGCTCAGTTCCTAGCCAAAGCCAGGTGTCAGGAAACCGGAAAACATGCACCCCCCCCGCCCCGCCCCATCTCCCAGTGCGCCTCTCAGGAAGTGAGAAAAGCACAAGCCTCACCGTGTGGTTGGCACCACAGGCCACATCTCGTACCACCACATTTGGTACAGGAAGAATCTGTCCATCTTTCGTCTTCTCGATGAAGATGGCCACTCGCCGGGGGACAAGCTCACAGTCGTACTCTATCCGCTGTGCCCGGGCGATGAACTTCCCATCCGAGTTGTGTCCTGTAGAGACCACAGGGCCAGCCATCAGCAGCAGCGGATCAGTGTGCTCACATCGAGTCTGCAGTGAGCCCCGAGCATCGTCCCAATCTGGCCCTTCTGGGCCTCACCAGGACACGTTGGTCAACAAAGGCAACGTTTTCCAATCTGAGGCACAGCACGATGAGTGGGTCAATGAAATCAATTTTGTGAGCTGAGACCAGTTATTTTTTTTAAAATGAATAGAAAAGAATGACAAAGAACACACATCATAATCCCACCATATTCCAACAATTCTAGGTATGGTATTATACATTTAAACTGGGTTGCAACAGAAAATTTATTTCTTACTGTGAGTTGCAAAGAGGCTGAAGCTGCGGATCAAGGACTGGTCTATCAAGTAAGATCTCTACTCCACTCGAGGAACCACAAGGAACCCCCAGATGGGCCAGGAATGAACAGAAAGCTCCACACACAATCCCAAGACCTCTGCTTTCATGAATTACCAGTAACCTACACATATGGTTATGCGTGGCTAATCCTGCAATTCCTATACTCCAAATGACCCAGGGACTGGTTCGCAAGGACCCAGCTCAGCATACCACACACCAGGAGCCAGGCTGCTCCAGTCCTGAGAAGACGCCAGACCATCCATGCCCCTGCAGCCACCTGCAGTACAGGGCTGCTACGTAGTCTGTGGTTTTAAATTGCTCCTATTCCCACACTGTCGTCATCGGTTTGGCCGGGTGCAGTAGGAGCCCACATCTGTTAATCCCAGCACATTGAGGGGCTGAGGCAGGAGGATCACCTGAGGTTAGGAATCAGAGACCAGCCTGGCCAACGTAGTGAAACCCCATCTCTACTTTAAAAAACAAAAAAAAATTAGCCAGGTTTGATGGCGGATGCCTATAGTCCCAGCTACTAGGGAGGCTGAGGCAGGAGAATCGCTTGAACCTGGGAGGTGGAGGTTGCAGTGAGCAGAGATTGTGCCATTGCACTCCAGGCTGGGCAACAGAGCAAGACTGTCTGAAACAAACAAACAAAAAAACTGTCATACTACAGTTTGTAAACTAGCCCCCGGCTTGTGGCTAATCCCCCTCCAGACAGCATGCTTGTGTGTACCTCAGCCCTTACAGGTATGTGTGTGTTTAAGCAGTGTGCTATTTAAATACAGTCAACCTCCATGGCCACGGGTTCAACCACCTGTAGTCCAAAAATGTCTGGGGGAAGGTGGGAACAATAAAAGATATTAAGACCGTACAGTGGAACTACTTACATGACATTTACATCATGTTAGGTACTGAAGTCATCTAGAGATGATTTTAAGTATACAGGTCACATGCAGATACTATGCCACTTTATAGACACTAGAGCATCTCCAGCTCTTGGTATCTATACGGGGTACTGGAAGCAATCCCCCAGGTTACCAAGCAGCAGCTGTACCCTGGAATCACAGCTAAAACATGCACAATAACATTACTGGGCTTGTTGGCTGGTGCAGTGGCTCATGCCTGTAATCCCAGCACTTTGGGAGGCCAAGGCAGTGGATCACTTGAGGTCAAGAGTTTGAGACCATCCTGGTCAACTTGGTGAAACCCCAGCTTTACTAAAAATACAAAAAATTAGCTGGGTGAAGTGGCGGGCGCCTGTAGTCCCAGCTACTCAGAAGTCAGAAGCAGGAGAATCGCTGGAACCCGGGAAGCGGAAGTTGCAGTGAACAAAGATCGAGCTGCTGCACTCCAGAGCGACGCTCCGGCTCCCTTATCTTGGTGTTGCCCTGGCCCAGTAAGTGCACTGCAAAAATGGGAGCATGAAGCCAGATCGTGTGCGGGTGAGACCCTGCCAGGGTCAGATTAGGTTCTCCTTCTAAAAGATCTACTTGGATTCCGACAAAACTGAAAACCTGCCTTCAAGCAAGTCATAGGCTGAGAATAAGCGATTCTGTAGTTACAAATCAGACCGATTCCCAAACTACCCGCAAGTGAGTGTAACAGAGCACCTGAGAGTTTGTACAAAGTGCTTACACGGTGCCTGGCACACTTGTCACTGCTCCATGAAAGGGAGCCATTTTTATCACAACCAGCAGGTCACGCTTCCTGATGGAAAATCGACTTGCCAGGGTGCAGAGGGGAGGCTGAGGCCGCAGGAGCACGCACGTGGCAGGAAGGGGACGCTGCTGGGCCCCACAGCAGGGCCGTGGCCATGGAAACACTCTCCAACTGTCTCGGGCTCCGCCCCGGCAACCAAAGCAAAATGTGCATAAGGGGCTGTTCTCTCTTATTCACTTCTGACTTGAGGTATATTTAGTTTCACAAAGTCACTGTTCCCTGAGGCTAAGGCCAGCGGGCTCGGCGCTATTTTTACCTTTTCCATCTGCCAAACCCTGCGGCTGCAGGAGCGCGCGCGGCCAGCAGAGGGCACCCGTGCCACGCTTCGGAGAAGCCTCCCCCAGGGGCTGGAGGCGGAGCCGCAGCAGGGAACCCTACTTGGCGGCGGGGGGGGGGGGGGGGGGGCAGAGGGGAGGAGAATCGGATGGGACCATCGAGTCGGAAGACACTCCCCCCACTGACTGGGAACTGCTGCCTGAATTCTCCTTTTCTACCAATGAGATAGAAGGAAACAGGTTTCTGCACAACTAGGTTCTGGCTGGGGATGACGCCGGAGGAGGGGGTCCACCGGGGCTCCTCACGTGGGAACCTGAAATAATCGCCCAGGCCAGGGTTTCCAGAACAACCTTAAGCTTGTATAATTTTCTCATTTTCAATAGAGGCATAATCTTTAAATGTGAAATTGAATGAAGGTGGTTTGATTTTTTTTTTAATTTTGAAATTCCTTTATATAAATGAATTCCCAAATCAGAAAAAAAGAATCTTTTGTCGGATTCCAGTCCCGGCTTTTCCATTGAGGCAGCATTGTAATACTCCATAATCCTGTCAATGAGGATGCACTGTTCCAGTGGATGTGAGATCCACTTAATGGACAAAGGCTATTATCTGAGATCAATTACCCACATTTCAACACGTGTGTGCAGCCCCACACTGATCTCTGGTTCTGAATATACACAGATTACAGAGCTTTTAAAAACTGTACTTCCATACCCAGCTGACCATATTCAGGGCACCCAAAGGAATAGAGGTTTCCTTTGCAGTCCATTATCATACTGAATTCAGCCCCACAGGCCATTTTGGTAATTGGCTGGCCGTTGTACATTATCTGAAAAGAAAAGACAGGAGACATTCATTTTTTAAAAAAAGACTGATAAAAAGTCTCTACCTCGCTGCATGTTGGTAGGAAACAATTACTAGGTTACAAAGGGAAGTTTAATAAACTTGACAATTCTGAAGGCAAAAGCTGACACAAAGCTTTAGAAGATCGATAAAGAAACACCTTCACACCCCCCACCTTCCCAAGTGGAGTTCAAAGCTTAGCACTGTCTCTTTAAGATCAATAAAAACAAGTCCCTCCCCTCCCTCATCACTAATTAGGCACTTAGCTTTCTTCTACCTTTAACAGTAGTTTGTTTTTAAGGTACAAATCTCACCCCTCCAACTCAAGTTTCTTTGGAAAAAAAGACTGCCTATCTCCCAGGCACGGTGGCTCTTGCCTGTAATCCCAATCTCAGCACTCTGGAGGCCAAGGTGGGTGGACCATGAGGTCGAGATCGAGACCATCTAGGCCAACATGGTGAAACCCCGACTTTACTAAAAAATACAAAAATTAGCTGAGCATGGTGGCATTTGCCTGCAGACCCAGCTTATCGGGAGGCTGAGGCAGGAGAATCACTTCAACCTGGGAGGGGGATGTTGCAGTGAGCCGAGATAGTGCCACTGCACTCCAGCCTGGTGACAAATCAACACTCCATCTCCAAAATATGAAGAAGAAGAAAACAAAAAAAGGATTGCCCATCCCTTCTTTGTGTTCTAAGCACTTGGCCAGTGACTTTACACAAGTTCAAAACAAAGTATTTGCAGGTTACTACAATTACCTGCTAATTTCTTTGGAAGAGAACAGGCTTACGACCAGGTTTTCTAACAGATTTCTCCATTTGGAAACAAAATGTTTTCAGGATGGTTTTCAACCTGACCACAAACTAAGCCAGTGTTAAACAACTATAGCATGGCCGGGAGAGATGGCTCCCGCCTGCAATCTCAGCACTTCGGGAGGCCGAGGCGGGTGGTCACCTGAGGTTGGGAGCTGGAGGCCAGCCTGACCATCATGAAAAAACTCCGCCTCTACTAAATATACAGAATTAGCTGGGAGTAGTGACACATGCCTACAATCCCACTCGGGAGGCTGAGGTTGGAGAATCGCTTGAACCTAGGAGGCGGACGTTGCAGTGAGGCAAGATCAAGCCAACTCCGGCCTTGGCAACGAGAGCAAAACTCAAAAAATAAATAAATAAACAAAAACAAAAAAAAACCCTACAGCTTGTAATTAAACATCCAGACCTCCTTTTTACAAGGGATGAATTAACTCAAACAATGGAGACTCCACCTCAGAAAATCAAACACACAAGTAAAGAGAAACAAGAGGCCGTGGAGCTGAAGCTGAGGAGGGGTCACCTGCGCGGGGCTGGGGACAGCGTCTGTCTGGTTGCCAAGGCCCAGCTGCCCCATCTTGTTCTCCCCAAATGCAAACACGGAGCCAGTTTCTGGAAGGAAAGAAAAATATCACAAAAGGGAAGATAATGCTGAATGTTTTAACTAGATTTAGAATCAAAGGCATCAAAATAATAAAAACAGCTCATTTGCCAGGCAGAAGGCAAGTGAGGCAGTGTCCAAAAGCTGCAGTGCAGACGCTTCGCAGCAGAGCCCCTTCACATCCGAAACTGGGTGTGTAGAGCAACCAGGGCGGCGGCTCCCACTCCCAGATGGGCCTCCTGTGGCCACCAGGGAGGTCCCAGTGCCCTCAAGAAGCCACTCCCCACGTGGATTCTCAGGGCCTCTTTCCGATCCTGACCAAGAGGCACAGGGGTGACACACCCAAACCCCACCCGCAAGACAGACTATCTGGCCTCTTGCCACACTGAGAAGAGACCCCAGCAGTGCCCTCCTTACCCGTCAAAGCCAAGGTGTGATTCCGCCCACATGCTGCAGACACAATCACTTCGTGGCTGAGACCCTCAATCAGTCTGGGGGCTTCCACTCTCTTGGTGTCGCCGTGTCCCAGCTGCCCCTTCTCATTTCGACCTGCAGATCACATGAGAGGAAGTACAGAGGAGGGAAGATGGTCCAGGCGGCACCACCAGGCGAGTACAAACACTCTCAAATGACGCCCATCTGCATCTCCCGAAGATATCCTCCAAATTCCCAGCAAACAGCCAAGATCCAGAGCAAAGAATGCTCCGGTCCTCCGCCCACAGGAATGTCGCCTGCTGCAGCTCCCCCAACCTCCTTCCCTGGGGCAGCAGCGGGACCACCCATGCTACAAAGGGAAATGGGAGCGACTCAGTGAGGTACGGGCACAATTCACAGAAACGCGCGGCTCCCACTTGGAGTGTCTGAGAGACAACCACCCCGTCCCCACCCTCTGGGATGTGTTAAGCGCCCATCTTGACACCTGGCTCACCAGAGTTGAATCACTTCAGTGCTCTGGGCATCCACTGAGCACCTGTCCACTCACTATTTCTCTTCCTTTTTCTACCTTGTAAATAGTGCTTACAGACCAGTGCCAATTCCACCCCAAGGGATTGCCCCTCAAGAACTCTCAGCGACAGGAACCCTGGTGGCAAAGCACAGATCTGCCCTGAACACAACACTCGCAGCCCTACCTCCAGAGCTGCTGCAGACGCAGCCGAGGCCCCGCACCTGTGCATTTTAGGGGAAGGCAGGCCTGGGGCCAACCCCTGCCCCCGAGTCCTCTGCAGAACCAAATTCAGCTCCAAAACAGACGTGGAAGTTGGGTGGGCCAAAAGGAGGGCTGGGAGCCCCTACGCCTCATTCTAGGTTTCAACACGGACTACCAAGTTCCAAAACAAAAATTCCAAAACAAAAATTCAACAGGCCACTGTCAGCTCCCTCCCGCTAAGAGAGCCACACATGTAACCTAACATTTGGGGAAATTTACAGAGCTCTTACTGGGCCGAGAAGTCAGAGCGATTCCAAGGGGTTTTGCAACCTTCTCCAGCAATGAACTTTTCACCCTTAGGTCATGATGAAGACAGACAGTAGAGCCACTAAGACGAGCTCCAGTTGTCCTGGAGAAGGCTTGCAGCAGCGGCCTCTGACTACAGGAGGAATTGCGGCACAGGACACCATCCTCCAACTCCCTCTTTAAGGAATGGCAGCTGAAGGACACGCTCTGGCACTCGGGCAGGAGAGGCTGATACCAGCTTCCAAAGGGAGCTGCCCAAGTTCACAGTGAAAGGCACGTGAACACAGAGCAACAAGCGCAAGGCAGTTTCAACCTGGGCTCAGCGGGCTGAGGTGCTGCAGGACAGGGTGCTCAGGCCACAGACGGAGAGCCCACGTGAGCAACGCCATCAGCCACCCTCCCGTGGCACTCTATACTCACACCAGACAATGCCCCTCTGCCTTCTACAGCACCCAGCAGTGGACTTGTGACACCTCCAGCCCTGTTCCCGCCAACAGCACTGCCTGCTTGGGGACCACGTCTCAATGGCAGGACGCACTCTGCCCCTGCCCACAGGGTTAGAACGAGGATGCTTTTAGAACTGCCATGCAAGCAAAGCTCAGTGAGAGATCAGGAATAAGGTATTTTAAGTTTGGAACACTGATATAAAAGGCTGTGCTCGGCGTTGGAACTGAAGTAGGAGGGGTGCTTGGGGGGAGGGACCCACCTCGATGCCAGCCAGGAGAAAACAAAACCTGTGGCAAAGTCAGCATGTCACTAAGAGACTAAAAAGTATAAATTTGGGCCAGACACACTTTAGCTTTTTTCAACAGAATTACAAAATTAGCCGAGTGCAGGGAAGACAACAGATGTTAATATATTTGGACTTTGGTACAGCAGCTCATGAAATCACAAAAAATGGTTCAAACAGACCAAAATAACAGCGTAGTCATGTGGACCAAAAGCTAGCCAGAGGACCAGCCCGAAGGGTGGGGACAGATGCCAACATCCTCCATTGGAGGCAGGGTCTGGGAACGACCAGAAGGGTGGGGAGAAAGTGGGCTTTGACCGATACCATATGACTGGAATGATCTGGAAGAGGACACAGGCGGGAATGGCATGGCCGGCTAGAGGGCAGGGCCATGGACAGAGGGTAACAGGAAGAACCGGAACCCATCCCAAGTGCACAGTTGAGGAAAAGCAGAAGAGAAATCCCAACAACTCCAAAAAAGGAAACTGAACAGGTGGGGAAATACCCTAAGAAACAGACAGCTGGACAGCGAGCTGCCAAGTCTGCAGACCAGCCCTGTGCGGACCTCAGACACGAGGGCCAGGGCGGCAGGGACGCAGCACCCTATGACATGTGGCAGCTATAAAAGCCAGTGGCATACAAGTGGCAAGAACAGAGGTCGAAGGTCATACCAGGCTGTAAAGAGGAAGGAAACCGTCCGTCTGCTGGAAGGGCAGCCTGCCTAACACAGCACACACCTCAGTATCAGAAAGATCCAGCTTTGGGCAGAAGACTCGGGAAAATGCTGCTTCAAGACAAGGCATCAAGGAAGTAGGGGCTACATACAGGCAACAAATGTCAGGAAGATGGGGGGACGGGGATGCTGGGAATTAGGGAAAAAGACGTGGGCTGCAAACGAAGGAGCCCAGCGCCTTGGAGAGAAGGCGCGAGTCTCTTTTCCAGACCAAGAGAACAAAGTGCTGTGTGGGGATGGCTGGGGACAGTGGTCCCCAGTGCCCGCGCAGTACTCACCCCAGCTCCACAGCTTCCCTTCCGTGGTAATGAGGAGGCTGTGTGCGGCACAGGAACCCGAGACCACCGTCCGCACGCGAACCCCCGCCAGGCACCCATACCTGTGGGGCCCCCACAAATTCTGACCGAGATTTCTGTAAGCAGCTGCAGAGAGAATGAGAATGCAGATTAGACACCCGGGGGGGTGGTTGGGGTGACCTCCAAAATGCCACCGGCCACCAAGGAGCCACTTCCTGAGGGGACCAGGGACAGGTGTTCCTTGGGTGCCACCCTGACCTGCCTGTGGGGAGGCTGCTTGAAGACAGGGTTTGTACTTAGAACCTCTGTGATGTTTCTGAAGACCCAAAACATACAATGCCCCAGGAGCAGAAGTGGGAGCACACGGGCCAGGCGTCACCTGCCACCTTTATACCCATCCAGCCCCAGCCCTGTCTCTGGGCCCCACCTCTTGAGGGCCTCAGCCCCATGTGCTCTGCCACCAAGCACTCCTATCTGCAAGTGCCTGGTACCCCGTTCCAGGTTGTCCAGGAGGCAGGAGTGCTGGCCTCCCATAGCTGTCAGCCAAGGAAGAGGCTGACCCAGGAAACCTTGATTGCCCCAACAGTAACCTGCCCCTCCTCCTCACTCCCTGCCACCCCGCCCCTCCTTTCCCAGGCTCTCCTGCCCTCCTCCTTTGGCCTCTGCCCTGGGCCAGAAGACTCTTTCTGAAGGGTGACCCTGAGTGTCCCATCTTCCAGTGTTCCCAGCAGGTCTATTAGACCCTTCCAGGAGGAGCCCTGCTCACACTGCATCCCCCACCACCACCTCCGACCCTTTCTCAGCCATCCAGTGCATCAGCTGCTTCATGACTCCCCGACCCCACCCATATGTTCCCTTCCACAAGAAGATCCTTCCCACCTCCTACTTGTTCCTCAAAGCTCAAGTTAAGCACCAGTTCCCCTCCTCTGGGAAGCCCTCCAGGGTCACTTCCACTGAGAAATCTCCTTCACCCAGGGCTCCCCTGCCTCAGCCCCACTCAGCCAACCACAGCTCTCCTCCTGAGACCCCCTGCCCTCCCACTCCAGGAGAAGCCATCCAGGGCATAAGCTGTAGGCTCCCTCCAGCCTGGACCCTCACAAATGCCTGCCATGCAGTGAGTGCTCAATGGGAGAAAAAAGAAATAGCATCTGCCCCACAAAACCCCCTTCGCACCCTATTAGTGGATGGAACAGAGCCATCCACTAATTTCTTAATTTCCTTTTTTTTTTTAAAAAAAAAAAAGATAAGAGTCTTGTTCTGTCGCCCAGGTTGGAGTGCAGTGGTGGGATCTCGGTTCACTGCAACCTCCGCCTCCTGGATTCAAGTGATTCTCTCCTCTCAGCCTCCCAAGTAACTGGGATTACAGGCTTGTGCCACCACACCCGGCTAATTTTTGTATTTTTAGTAGAGAGGGTTTCACCACGTTGGCTAGGCTGGTCTCACTTCTGATCTCAAATGATCCACCTGCCTCAGCCTTCCAAAGTTCTGAGATTCCAGGCGTGAGCCACCATGCCCAGCAATCTTCCTTTTTTTCGCTGAGACTCTCAAGAACATTTCCAGGACTGTGGTGACTATACTGAAATGCTAGCCACTGCCAAATAGTCTCTAAGACTGATCCAATGGAGGAACTGATAAAAAGGATACAATTTTTCTTTTTTGAGACAGAGCTTCACTCTTGTTACCCAGGCTGGAGTGCAATAGCTTGATTTTGGCTCACCGCAACCTCTGCCTCCTGGGTTCAAGCAATTCTCCTGCCTCAGCCTCCCGAGTAGCTGGGACTACAGGAGTGTGCCACCATGCCCAGCTAAGTTTTGCATTTTTAGTAGAGACGGGATTTCACCATGTTGACCAGGATGGTCTCGATCTCTCGACCTCATGATCCACCCGCCTTGGCCTCCCAAAGTGCTGGATTATAGGTGTGAGCCACCACGCCCGGCCAAAGGATACAATTTCTCTATCAAGCACCTGGCTCCCTGGAAAATATCTGTGAAGTATGTCTGAGCTGCACCCTCCGCCCCTAGCAGAGGGTGCCACATACTCCCTCATTCAGGTTTGAGGGCAAGCAGGCAAGACCCCTGGCCTCAGGGGTCAAAAGCCAGCTCATCCCGAGTAGCACCTGAAGCAACACACCTGCATACACCTCACCTGAAGGGAGGAAAAGGAACATCAACAATTTCCTGGGGAAAAAGCAAACCAAAAATAAAAGCCTCATGGTCTATATTAAAACAAGAAAAACCGGCCGGGCGCAGTGGCTCACACCTACAATCCCAGCACTTTGGGAGGCCAAGGTGGCGGATCACAAGGCCAAGAATTCAAGACCAGCCTGGCCAACTCTACTAAAAACACAAAAATCAGCTGGGCGTGGTGGCGGGTGCCTGTTATCCCAGCTACTTGGGACGTGGAGGTGAAAGAATCGCTTAAATCCAGAAAGCAGAGGCTGCAGTGAGCCCAGACTGCACCACTGCACTCCAGCCTGGGCGAAAAAGCGAAACTCTGTCTCAAAAAAAAAAAAAAAAAAAAAAAAAAACAACTTAAGAAAACCCAAGGTAGTGGCATCTAAATTAAGATTTAGGAACTGTATTAAACAAAAATCAGGAGGGAAAAAAACCCAAAGTCTCTCTGTCATGAAGACACAATGATGGCATGACTGACAAGTGTCATCATGACCCTGGGCTGCAACACAGGAGGCCAGGGGACACCAGGGAAGGGTGCGGTGCCACACGCTTGACCTTGCTTGGCCAAGGGGAATCTCAGGTGGTCAGATGCTCCTGGACTTGCCATAGCATCTTTTCCTGCAGCACCCAGGATGCCATTGGCTAGTGAGAAGCAGGGCTGGGTTTCATCTGGCCTTCAAGGAAGGGCTAGAGGAATGGGGGTGTCGGGGGGCAAGTCGAATTAAATGCCCTGCAGCAGTCCCAGGCACTGCAGTCAGGCTGAGAAGTCAATTCCCATGGCCTCCAGATCCCTGGGGTCTGGTCCTAGTCACAGAGCTACGGCGTGGATTGCTGTGCTATCTTGCAAAGGAACAAGACATCCAGGCTTCTGGTTTTCACCAGAGCTACAGCAACATACATGCACAGGAGGCAACAGAGTAAACCAGAGAGTGGGACTCCAACCCTGGCCCCGCCTGTCGCTTCCTTTGGTTATTTACTGCCCCTTCCCTGGGCTTCTGTGCCTTCAGTGTCCCGTGGGCCACTCAGCTGAAGAGCAGCTTTGAGAAATGATGCAATGCAGGCACGGGACGGGCAGCAAGGCGCCAGCAGCACCCGGGCTTACATTACTGCAGACCACAAGGTGCTTCCCTGGAACACCAGCTGCCATGTGGACGTGGGCCCCCTGGCTTGGGCCTGAAGACTGGGCATTTTCCAAACAAGGCGCTGCTGCTACCTGCAGCACTTCTAACTCAACGGGCCCACTGGTGTTGCTGATCGTAAGCTGTTTTCATGGAACCAGGTGATCTCCAACACACCTGTTTTAAGGTGCCAAGATGTGCCAGCATGCAAATATTTGTTCAAGGGGCAAAGCACTTTGGGAATCTTTCCAGATGAAATCAAGAAGCCATAAAAGTTGGCTACATGCCAGCCGTCCTTCTCCTGGATGGGCTGGTTCCCTTAATGTAAGACACATCAGTTTTCCAAAGGTAACAGGGGACAAAAAGTTAGTTCGTAAGGACCCCTCTGCTTTCCCTGCTCCAGACTGTTCTGTCAAAACAGTTCCTGCAATAATTTGGCAGCTTGCAAAGAAACGTGGACTCTTCTGCAATGTTTGACATTTTGACACCTGACATTTCACAAATGTCTAGGACATTCTGACACCATCTCACAGAGCCAATCTCTCTTCATTTTGACAAAAACAAGTGACATGAGAAGGAAGACAGAAAAGGTGACAATGTTCATTTGAGGATACTACTTGTATTTTCCCGATTAATCTTAACGGAATTAGTGAGTCATTTCACATTGCTGCCTTTAAAAAACTAAGATCAGGGTTCAAATCCAGCTCCATCACCACCGTGGCTGTGTGGCCTCAGGCAAGTCACTTGGCCTCTCTGAAAATGCATTCGTAAATGAAGGAAATACCTACCAGGCAGGTGATCAGCTGGTCAGTGGAACCACAGTGGACACCTAGCACTTAAGTTCTCAATGAACTTTGAGACACCATTCTCATACCTTGCTGTTTAGGCACTTCTTTTCGACCAATCAAGTCCCAGTTGGTTGCCCCAAAAATCAAAAGCTGCCCTTTGCACTTTGACCCTTCAAGTTTCTGCAGAGACAGAGAAAGGAAAAAGAATTAGCGTGTAAGGCTGCACCAGTCCCCTCCCAGGGCTGGTCAGTGACAGCATGAAGCGAAAGAAAATAATTCACCTTTACCCCTTCTGTCACCTGTGACCTCCACATAAACAGAGGCTCCCCACCTTCCTTCCCTCCCTCGCAGCAATGCGGACAATCCCAAACCTGCCCACGGCTGCTCACTTGCTAAGCCCAGGCTCATTTTTTTCCTTTTGACTTCTCTTTAAAATGGCTTTTGCAAAACACTAAAAAAAAAATAAGCCAAATGACATGCCTCCTCCCCTTTGCAAACTGACATCCAGAGGTATCTGCAGGAAGCTTGCCGACACTCAGGGGCATGAAATCCGGCTTATCGCAGGGCCAAGTGTGCATTTCACATGGCAAGCACAGTCTGGGACCTCAAACCTTAGAAGCCCCTGACTCGGGAAGAAAAAGAGTAGAGAATGGGGTTCGATTTTTCCACTGGAGGGAGGAAGACTGGAGAGAACAAAGCTTTGTGGGTGGGTATGTGTGGTCTGACGCAGGTGGCTTTTGATGGCGCCCTCACGCCACTGTCCACTAGCCAGGGGGCCAGTGGTGAGTGAAACAGGACATCCAAGGGGCCGGACTTCTCCAGGGACAGGCTGTCACAGCAGCCAGCATGCTCTAATGTTCATCCTCAGTCTCCCAACACGGAAAGCCATCAGGGCCACCAACTCTCATACTGTCAATGAAAATCTGTGTCATTTAAAAAGGCCACTGTCCAATTCTGGTGGCACTCATAATATTCTCAGCATTTCGCTTCCTTAAATGTCAAAATATACTTTTTAAAGTGATTGTTCGTTGAAGACTCCATTCTGAACACCCCACTCAGTCCACACTGGCAAGGGAAGCATTCATTACTCTCACTCTCTGCTCTTAAACATGATTATTCCTGGACCTGAAAAGGAAAGGGGTTTCCTTCTGTTTACAGAATTGCTCTTGGAAGGCTTCAGAAAAAAAGGCTGGCCAGGCATGGTGGCTCACGCATGTAATCCCCAGCACTTGGGAAGGCCGAGGTGGGTGGATCACTTGAGCTCAGGAGCTAGAGACCAGCCTGGGCAACATGGCAAAACCCCATTTCTAGAGAAAATACAAAAATGACCCTATGGTCCCAAGCTCCTACTTGGGAGGCTGAGGTGGGAGGATCGCTTGAGCCGAGGAGATGGAGACTGCAATGAGCCGGGATCATACCACTCCACTCAAGATCACACTGCCTGGGTGGCTGACAAAGCCAGGCCCTGTCTCAAAAAAAAAAGAAAGAAAATGAAAAATGGCCAGGTCCAGGCCCAATCATTCTCACCTCTACAGTGTGATCATCCCGCCTGTATGTTTTGGCAGTACTGCTCACACATTTCTAAGACTACACATCTTCCCGATAGATGAATTCCAGTTCACAGAACCTTTACATGCCCCAAACCTAATATGCTAGGCATCCCCCAAGATACAGGTTTCGTCACACTTGTCTGCTCCACCCACATTATGTGGCAGGAGGAAAATTGCCCATCTACAGGAAAACATCCTGCAGTCATCTTGAAAAGGGGAAGTGAGGCCAGGCGCAGTGGCTCACGCTATCATCCCAGCATTTTGGGAGGCTGAGGTGGGTGGATCACCTGAGGTCAGGAGTTCGAGACCCGCTTGGCCAACATGGTGAAACCCCGTCTCTACTAAAAATAAAAAAATTAGCTGGGCGTAGTGGCAGGTGCCTGTAACCCCAGCTACTCGGGAGGCTGAGGCAGAACACTGGCCGGGAGACAGAGGTTGCAGTCAGCTGAGATCGCACCATTGCACTCCAGCCTGGGCGACAAGAGCCAAACTCAGTCTCAAAAAAAAGGGGAGGGGGGAGGGGAAGTGAAACAACACAGAAATGGAGAATGACTTCAACACATGTAAATTATTTAGAAAATGACCTTAATCAGAGGGTAGCCCAGCCCCTGCAGCACCCAGACTCAGGTTACTTGAATTGGAGCCTAGTTTCCCCTGGTTATCGCCCCTTCTTTAACTGGCAGGCCTGGCTGGAATATTCTACAGGTCTATAGTCAATGGCTTCTGTCAAAGTCCCTGGGGAACGAGAGGACCCTGGGTCCTGTGCTCAAGGCACGGACTTGTGCTCTACCATTTCTCAAGTTGGCATGGAAGGGACAGTAGAGACCCAGGAAGGGTGCTAAGGCACTGGAGTCCAAGCTCCCAGGCCAGAGAGCAAGCCTAGAAAAGAGCCCCGGAATGCCAGCAACTGTGGACCAGGAAGGCAGAGGTTCGTGGCACCTGTGCTCAGCATTCACCAATGAAGTCACACCACCCGACACTGAGATACAACCACTGCAGCAAAAACTTCACAGTGCTGAGACCACACCAGAACCCTCAGCTCCATCAGGCCAGAGGGCATGGTTCAGACAGCCAGAACTTACCACAGTGGCCTTGGCCTTGGGGAGGTTGTTTCTGGGGTTACCTGGACCTTTGGTCAAGGGCTCATGAACACTGGCCCATCAGGCTAGCTGAGCATTTATACACAAACCCAACCATGCCAATAAAAATATATCTGTGGGCCAGGAGTGCCAGCTTACACCTGTAATCCCAGCACTTTGGGAGGCTGAAGTAAGCAGATCACCTGAGGTCAGGAGTTCAAGACCAACCACGGCCAACCTTTTAACATATGTCCAATTTCTATTAAAAATACAAAATTAGCTGGGCATGGTGCCCATGCCTGTAATCGCAGCTACTCAGGAGGCTGAGGCAGGAGAATTGCTTGAACCCGGGAAGTGGAGGTTGCAGTGAGCTGAGATGGTGCCGCTGCACTCTAGTCTGGGTGACAAAAGAGAAGAAACTCCATCTCAAAAAGAAAATGTGTGTGTGTGTGTGTACATACATGTGAAAAACTCTGGTAAACTGAGTCTACTCCAGAGACAGTGGTTGGATTCATATTCCAGTTTTTATGTCATGGACCCTATTTCCACACACATTAGATGGAGGTTAGTGTACTTCATTGTTACTATTTACACAATCATTTGCTATAAGCTGCTTTCTTTTATTTCTCTGTAACTTCTTTCCTTAGCCTGATATGGAATAAACATTTAAATCGAGTAATAGGGAACTCCTAGACTCCTTCTAATTTAAGGGGTGCTTCTCTTCATCAGAGATCGGAAACAGCCGATTACGTGGGAGAGACTCCTGTGCCTGTGGGCTCTGCCCAGGGAGCGTGTGGGTGTCTGAAGTTACGTTCCCTCCCAGGCTGAATCCAGCCTTCCCTGATGGGCCTCTAGATTTATTTTTTGGATGAACTCCATGTCTGCGACACTGCTTGTGTATAAAAGCCACACAGCAGTCAGCCTGGCAAAGTCTCCCCAACAAGATAAGCGATTTTCATGTCATTTCACCTGGCTGCCTCCAGCAACCTGGTCACATAACCTGGGCAGAGACCCACGTCCACGCCCAGAAAAGGTACTGAGCTTCTCCAATCAACAAAATGGGATTTCTAGTCTAAATCAATTTTTGAATTATGATCCAAATGTAAGGGGCAGGTTTATGGGGCCCAGAGTCAACCTTCTAACATATGTACATTTAGAGCACCTCTGCTCCGGGGAAGGAAAGATCCCTGGGAACAATGCTGACATCAATCACCTAAGGGCCAGCAGCTGAAACAGGCTTCCAGCTCAGCTTTCAGTTTTATTCATTTGGTCCTTTCAGAGTCAACACATCTGTCTCAGGGGCCACACAACCTTGGCAACCCAAGACTGGAAAAACTACAGACCCGGGCGGCTTGCAACACTCACCTGTTTTCTAGATTTGGCCAAGGCCACTGCCTTTACTTGCTTTACGAGGTTATGAGGTTCACAAAGAATTAGGACTGAAGCCATTCTAGTGTGACACTGTGCCATAAATATCTGGAGTTTCTGGCATGCAGACTTCCCAAATCCTCTCCAAAGCGATGTCTTTTTGTATGCTAACAACTGACACTGGCAGCCCCCAGGCAGCTTCAGTTTGGGGCAGTGGGAGACTTGGGACTTTCGGCCCCACCCCCCAACCTCAGGGGGAAGGGAGGGGTTGAAGGTTAGATTGATGATCAATGGCTTAATCCACCATGCCTACATAATAAAGCCTCCATTAAAACCTGCAAAGACTGGTCTGAGGGCTTGTGCAGAGCTCAACTTGTTCCAGGTGGGTGGTCTGCAGAGGGCACAGAAGCACGCCGCCCCTTCCCCCACATCTAGCCTTACAGGTCTCTCAGTGTCCATAGCCTTTGTAACATCCTTTACAATAAACTGGTGTTTCCCTGAGTTCTATAAGCTATTTCAATAAATAAATCGACACCAAAAGGGGGTCATGGGAACCCCAACTTGAGGCTGCTTAGTCAGAAGCAACTGGGGCCTGGACTTACCACTGGTGTCTGGGGTTGGGGGACAGTCTTGAGGACTGAGCCCTCAAGCTGTGGAATCGGATGTTACCTCCAGGTAGATAGTGTAAGAAATTAACTGGAGAACACCCAGTCAGTGTGTGCTGGAGACTGACGGCTTGCTTGCTTGATAGTAGGGGGAGACCTCCCTTTATGTCTGGTCACAGAAGTTGTGTGCTGGGAGGCCAGGCATGGTAGTTCATGCCTGTAATCCCAGCACTTTGGGAGGCCGAGGTGGGTGGATCACGAGGTCAAGAGATCGAGACCATCCTGGTCAACATGCTGAAACCCCATCTCCACTAAAAATACAAAAAATTAGTTGGGCATGGTGGCGCATGCCTGTAATCCAGGTACTCAGGAGGCTGAGGCAGGAGAACTGCCTGAACCCAGGAGGCAGAGGTTGTGGTGAGCCAAGATCACGCCATTGCCCTCCAGCCTGGGTAACAAGAACGAAACTCCGTCTCAAAAAAAAAAAAAAGAAAAAAAAAGAATTAGGCAACATGTATTTTTGTTGTTGTTTTTAAGAGACAGAGTCTCACTATGTTGCCCAGGCTGGAGTGCAGTGGCTATTCACAGGCACCATCCCACTACTGATCAGCACAGGAGTTTTGACCTGCTCCGTTTCTGACCTGGGCTGGTTCACCCCTGCTTTGGCAACCTGTGGTCCCCCGCTCCTGAGAAGTTACCTATCGATGCCGGACTTAGTGCAGACACCCAATTGGCATAGCGCACTACAGCCCAGAACTCCTGGACTCAAGCAATCCTTCAGCCTCAGCCTCCCCAGTAGCTGGGACTACAGGCACGCGCCACCGCCCGGCAGCAATATAGTTCACATGTCCTTCTAGCAACCCTGAGCAGGGGCAAGGTGTGCAAAATATTCAGTAAAAAGGTTCTTTCTGCAACAAGGACTGTCATCTGGCTGTGATAGCACATAGGGTCCCTAGGACTGCTCAACAGAGAGACAGAGACCAGAAACCTGGGGGCAGGGAGACTGGGCAGGAGACCAACCCAGGACATGGGCAGAGGGCCGCCCTAGGCCTGTGGAAAGGAAATGGCGCTGCATGGACCCAGCCCTGACCATGGATCAAACTCAGTAGATGCTAACAAAACTTAAACGTGGGGCACTTTGGGAGGCCAAGGCCGGTAAATCACTTGAGGTCAGAAGTTCGAGACCAGCCTGGCCAAAACTTCGAAACCCTGTCTCTACTAAAAATACAAAAAATTGCAGTGGGCATCTGCAATCCCAGCTACTCAGAGGCCTAGGGAGGAGAAATGCTTGAACCCAAAAGACAGAGGTTGCAGTGAGCCGAGATGGTGCCACTGCACTCCAGCCTAGGCAAAAGAGCAAAACTCCATCTCAAAAAAACAAAAGCAAAACTTAAATGCAGGGTGTGCACTTTCCATGAGGCATAAAACAGCATCATTTGCTGAACCCTCAGTCTCACAGATGCTCTGATCCTAGGATGGCACCAGCACTGACGGCCCAAAAGATGGACATCACAGGCCTTCTTGGTTTTTAAGTGAATAGAGGAAGGAACATGAAGCTTTTAGAGTTCTGCTTATACACATATATAACATAATGACTTCTTTAGGTGTATAAACGGGAACTTAAAAAGCTGCAATAGACTGCTGTCTACTCACATTGAGACTAACAAACGTGGCAGGGTACAGTGGCTCCCGCCTGTAAACCCTGCACTTTGGGAGGCTGAGGCAGGTGGATCACCTGAAGTGAGGAGTTTGAGACCAGCCTCACCAACATGATGAAACCCTACTAGAAACACAAAATAATTAGCTGGGTGTGGTGCGTGCGCTGTAATCCCAGCTACTTAGGAGGCTGAGGCAGCAGAATTGCTAGAACACAGGAGGTAGAGGTTGCAGTGAGGTGAAATTGCACCACTGCACTCCAACCTGGGCAACAGAAGCAAAACTCCATCTCAGAAAAAAAAAAAAAAAAAAACTAACAAACAAACGTGCAGCCTCAAGCAGGGCTCACATCTGTCATCCCAGCACTTTGGGAGGAGGCAGAACCAGGCATATCACTTGCAGCCAGGAGTTTGAGACCAGCCTGGCCAACATGGCAAAACCCAGTTTCTACAAAAAGTATGAAAATTATTCGGGTGTGGTGGCACACACTTGTAATCCCAGCTACTCGAGAAGCTGATCAGAACTCAAAAATCACTTGAACCTAGATAGGTGGAGGTTGCAGTGAGCCGAGATCCTACCACTGCACTCCAGCCTGGGCAGAGACTCTGCCGGGGGGGGGGAAGACTAGTAAATGTGCCATTTCCACTGACAAACCAGCTTCAAGCAGCGCAGCTGGAGTCAGAGGTGGGCCAGGGAGAGCCAGTGTCCCCCCACATTCACTGTCACTACCTTCTGAGGTCAATCTCAGCATGGGGTAAGGATCTTTTACTCTAATGACAAAACTCATCGCTCCAACAGTCTGGAGCTGTTCAGCTGACAACTGGAGACCTGGATATCCAAACAATCTTGCTTCTGGAGACTCACTCAAAATAGAATACAGGCGAGGCGGAAGCTCACCTGGCCTTTCTTTTTAGTTTTGTCCTAACATACTGTGTTTGGAGGGCAGATGTCTGGAGTCTGGCACAGCAGATTAGATGTCAAAGGAAAACAGTTCCTGTGTTCCAGTTTCTCCATACTTCGGCCATTGTCTTGTCTGCCCTGATCCAAGACCCCAGGCAAGGCCTTTTGGCAGCTTTTGACAGGCTCTCCTCCACTGCCTAACAGGTTAACCCTTTCATCCAGAGGGCACTTCTACAAAGCATATTCCCATGTGCGATCTGCAGGGACTTTACGGGCTACAGCATTTGGAGATCCAGTTCCATCCATGATTTTGGACAAGGCCCTCAAACTCTGTGCCCGTTTCCCTCGCTATGAAGCAGACATAGAAAAGATGTTATTAGACACTGCCAGCGCTTCTCTGGAGGAAAGCACTCTGCTGTTAACCCTTCAACACCCTGAGGAGATGGGCACTTATGGAAGGGAAAAAAACCTCTCCCGAGTGTCAGGCTCTAAACCCCAAGCGGAAGTTCTTGCTCCCTGGGGATTATCTAAGAATCTGGTGAAAGCTGAGCCCCTCTTCTGAAAAACATGTCCCACACCACACCAAACTTGGAAAAAGTTCTGGCGGGGTGGGGGAGATTATGTGGCAGCAGATGCCAGGCTCAGATCTCCGACTCTGCAGGCTTTTACCGGAACGTTGAGTCAGCCACGACCTTAATTAAGATTTCAGCCAACAGCAGCAGTCCGCGCAAGACCCTAGGAGATGCTTCTGCACTGGGGGGCTACCACAGAGCCCATCCTGAGCAACCTGCAGCTTCGGACCACCGGCGGCAAACAAAGCCCGAGCACCACTCAGCCGGGGGGCTTCCCCGACCTCTGGGGAGGGATCTGCGGAGCATGCGCCTTCGCACCCCGCCTCGGCGCCCGCCGCCCGCCACCCCCGCCTTCCCCGCGCGCGAGTCGGCGCAGGGCCACAAGGGGCATGCGCGGCGGCCGTCAGGCCCCGCCCCCCCCGGACGCCGGAGCCGAGGCGGCGGGAACCTCAAAGCCCCGGCGCAAACGGCCGCTCCCCGCAGAGCGCCGGCCGCCCCCTCCCCGCGACGCCCGGGCGCGCTGGCGGCCGCCTCCTCCTCCCGACCGGGCGAACTTACCGAGGTCCCCTTTCCCGGGGCGGGGGGGAGGGGCGCAGAGGGAGCTGCGGAGGCGGGGCCATGACCCCCTCGCGCGGGCTCCGGCCGCCCCTCCCCCGCCGCGGGCCCGGGCGCGCTCCCCAACCGCCAACCGCCCGCGATCGGATAGGCCGCGGCCCGCGCGCCCCGGCCCGAGCCCTTTTGTCGCGCGGAGGCGGAGGCAATGATTCAGCCCGCGGCCTGCACTGGCCCGGCCGCCGGGAGGGAGCGCGACGCGAGGCTGCCCCCGGCCGGAACGCGCGCCGTGCCGCGTCTCTGCCCCCGCCGGCCCCGGCCCCGCGCCTACCCGCCCGCCTTGTCCCGCACTCACGACGCGCTCCTTGGTGTGCTCGGGCTCGGTGATGACCACGGCCGCGCCGCCCGCCTTGCCTGCAGCCGCCGGCCGCGCCGCGCGCTTGCCCCCGCCGGGGGCCCCGTCGAGCTCCAGGCCGTCTTCGTCGCCGCTGCTGCCGCCGCCGCTGCTGCTACTGCAGCGCTCCGGCCGCTCGCGCTTCCTGCCCGCCGGGCCGCCGCGCTTCCTGGGCCCGGCGCGAGCAGTGCCGTTGCCCGAGCTCGGCTCCTCCCAGGCCGCCGCCGCCGCCTTCTTCCTGGGCATGGTCGTGGCTGGAGGGAGACACGGGGCAGCGGCGCACAATGGACGGGTTATAAACTGCGCGGGGGGAGGGGAGCGGAGACGAGCCACCCGGCCTCCACTTCCTCCCCTGCCCTCCCCAAAGTGGCGGCCGCGGGGTGGGCGGAGAGGGGGCGAGTTGGGAGAGGAAATCGCGCCCCTCCCTGGCCCCGGCGCGGCTCCTACGGGGAATCCCGCAGGGCAGCCGGGAGCCCCAGAGGCAATCCGCTGGAGGGAGAATGGAGACCCTCGGCCTCTCCTCAAGTTAGGCTTGCCTACAAAGCATCACAGTTGCAACCTGGCCCCCGCAAAAGTAAAGGGAAAGTAAAAGGAACCTCCAATCCCCTAGATTTTTCATTAAAGGTGGTTTTGGGACACTTCCAAGATTCCCCCTTGGCACCTCGGTGGTAAGGAGCTCCCTGTCCCCGGCCACCCCACCTGCTGCTTTTGTCTCCACGGCCTCCCCCTAAACCCACTCGTTGCATTTAATGCAACGCTCTCCCCCACCCTGTGACAGCCAGGGAACCCCGTTTGGCCCCAGCTCGGGGGTTCCGACCTCGGGCTTTAGTTAGCCGAATCCCTCCGGTGGACAACCCCCGGCGAGGGGGGAAAAGAGCCGGAAGAAAGCCGGACCCCAGCCCCAAACACCTGATCGCACAAACACGAAAAATAAAAACTTTAATGGTGCCCAACTCCCTCCCAGCCCCCTTGTCGGCCGTGCGGCCCGGCTGGTCTCCGATCCGACTACAAAGTGCCCAGCTCCGCCGCCAGCGTCCCTGCGCTTTCCCCTGTCTGCCTTTTTTTTTTTTTTTTAATTGATTTTGAACAATGGGATCTCTGTCTGTCTCCGATTAAACCACGTGGATCCGCCTTCCTTCCTCTTTTTATTCCTTCAGTCCCCCAGCCCCCCTCCCCCAGGTTTTTATTTTTCACCTTTTCTGTTAAAAAAAAGGGGGGGGTGGAATGAAACTTTCCTAGACCCCACAAACTGATCACTGTCGATTTTCAGCCCCTACCTGGTTGGAGTGATGAGAAACCGGAGAGAAAAAAGGAACAGAAGCAACTAAAAAACGGATCAGAGGGCTTTTTTTTCCGGCCCAGACTAGGGCTCCAGCCCACTCACCAGATACACTTAAAATGTAAATACGAGCTTCCAGAACAAATGCTACAACACAAAACAGAAACACATGTGCGGCCGCGCGGCAAGCGAGCGCGCGGCGAGGCGGGAGGCGCGGGGCCCGGGGCGCGCGCGCCCCCTGCAGGCCGGCGGACCCGGCGCCGGCGCCCCCGCCCTGCTCGGCCCGGCCCACCCGAGCCTGCGCCCCGCGCCGCGCGCCCAGCTCCCGGTCTCCGCTCCGCCAGGCTGCGCCTTTCGCTGGCCCGCGAGCGCGCCTCGGGCCTTCCACGCAGTGCGGCCTGCGCGTCAGGGACTTCTTTGCGGCTTAGGAGGACGTTGGATTGTTTTTCCTGGGCACGTCTAGACAGGTCACCTGAGGACACTCGCTGGAAAATGGTTAACTTCGCTCACGCAGCAGCCAACAAGGGACGTGCCCTAATTGAGCGATTGGAATGAAAGATGAATACAATTTGAATAATTTTTTCCTGTGCTGGGAGAAGCTAAGTTTTATTTGCCTATGGATGTGTCCAGTATGTCTCAAAGTACTGTGACACGGAAGAATCATAAAGGTTTGCTGTATTCGTGAATTAATTCGTAATTAATTTGAGGGCTGTGGAGGCACTGGAAGCTGGTTTTGATGTAAACTTTTCATTTTTTGACAGACATTTACTGAGCCCCCAGTACATGCAAGACCTACAGAGGCTGCAGAGCCAGGGAACAAGGTTTCCACCGTGGGGGAACGAACACACAGTCTAACGGAAAGACAGATCGTTAAACAAGTACTTACAAGACTGATAAGCTTTACAAAGTGACACCTGTGTAGGAACATTATGGCGAGGGGATTTATCCTATTACAGGATCGGGGAAGGCATTTAGGTGGAAAGTTATGCCGAACAATTTAAAGGATGAATAAGACCAGATGCAAAGGGGTCAGGAAAAGGTATTCCAGGCCAGGTGGGGTGAACGGGACGCTCCAAATCCCGAGATCTTGAGAGACACCTCCTGGGAGGGAAGCTGTCAGGTGGGGCTGGGATGAGAAGAGCTAAGAGGCTGACGAGGTAGGCAGGGGTGGGGGTCCTGCATAGACCCTGGTGAACTGCAGTGAGGCTTGATCTCGTTCACGTGTCCTGGGAGGGGTGGAAAAAGGCTTGCTTGCTTCCTACTGGTCTCCCCCCCACCTCCTCTCTACCCCACTTCCATTACAATCTCACGATCTCACCATCACTGGCTCTCTTCTCAAAGCTTTTCTCCCGCTTTTTTCCTTCCGCGTACTGCACAAGGAAGTGCCTTCTTTAGACAACTTCCTGAAAATTGATAAAGTTCTAGGATTTTTGTGATTCATTCATTCATTTCATTGTTAGTGCAAGAAACAGAATTGGGAAGCATCAAGTGTCCTTTAAAGGAAGACAGAGAAACCAAGAGGCCCAAATCTAAGGTATTTGATTAAAGTCAAAAGTCTGTGCTAAGGGAGCCGAGAGCGCTTATGTAAAAGAACTTTGGAAATGAGAAATCAACTGGTACCTTTTAAAGATTTTCAGAAAGGTCAAGATGGAATAGAAGCACCCTTTGAAAGCCTCTTCTTAATAGGCCTGCATTTTAAAAGATTTTAGAGATTAAACTTTGATGCTTTGATATAAAGCATAAGTAGAACCCACCAGAAAAGAATTTCGCCTAAATATGCCATCAAGTCCCCTTCAGGAAATGGCATGCTGATGCTTGTCCGCCGAGGCGGGTGGCTGGGTGTTTATCCTCTCAACACCCTGTGTGGCCAATTAGGAACAGCACTGACAGTACCTTTAGATTTCAGCCAGCAAGTCTTTTCCTTTTTTCTCCTGCCCCATTATAATGCTTTTTGCCAGCTTAAAAGACACATGCGTCAGGCACCCTGATGCAATGAGACGCTAATATCATATTGCATCATCTGATCCTAGGTGTGGTGCTCCTGAAACTGGTTTTTCTTGAGGTTATGCTGCAGTAGAAAAGCACTTTGGGAATAACACCCTGGAACTGGCCCTACTCGTCAGATGACAAAAGTAATTTTTGCAACTCCATGCCTCAATTCCACACCACTATTCTCCCAAGGAAAGCCTGTGTGACTCTCCCAGCTGTAATGGGTGTGCAACAGACATTCATCAGTTTGGCGTGTCATGCTGCCACTTATGTAACAAATGTTACATAGCGAGGTACACCTACAGGCAAGCTGAAAATGACACTTCCTCCTTCAAACTGTGCGTAGAATTTCACTTCGCTTTAATTGAGCAACTTCTCCAGGGACAGGATGGTTTGGTGCAAAAGCTGGAGAGGGGAAGGGAAGGAAGGTGGCTGAGATTTCTCTAACACTTTGGGGCACATTTGTCTGGCACTGTGCTGAGCGTCTTACACCCAGAATTTTGGAAATGTGGTTCCAAGTGCCAGCCTGCCATTGCTCTTTGACCTCGTCTTCAGCAAAATCATATTATAAGTTAGATTCAGCCACACTTAAGTTCTCTTCCAGAGGTAAGGTGTAATTCCTTTCTTTTGTTTTTTTTTTTTTTTTTTGAGATAGAATCTTGCTCTGTCGCCCAGGCTGAAGGCTGATGGCATGATCCCAGCTCACTGCAGCCTCTACCTTCCTTGCTCTAGCGATCCTTTCGCTTCCGCCTCCCAAATAGCTGGGACCAAAGGCATGCGCAGCTACACCTGGCTAATTTTTTTTGTTGTTTGTTTTGAGATGGAATCTTGCTCTGTCACCCAAGCTGGAGTGCAGTGGCACGATCTCTGCTCACTGCAACCTCCACCTTCTGGGTTCAAGCAATTCTTCTGCCTCAGCCTCCCAAGTAGCTGGGATTATAGGCGCCTTTCACCACGCCCAGCTTATTTTATGTATTTTTAGTAGAGATAGGGTTTCGCTGTGTTAGGCAGGATGGTCTTGATCTCCTGACCTCATGATCCGCCCACCTCGGCCTCCCAAAGTGCTAGGATT